CAGAGGCGTCAGGCCTGGGCAAGGGGCCGATCCTGGGATTGGAGGGTAATGGGGGTCAACACCTGTGGGCTCCCAGTATGTGAGAGGGGGCAGGCTGGGCTGAGGGACACTCCCCACCCCACCCCACACACACCCAGTACACGAATTTCGTGCACCGGGCCCCTAGTCCTATATAATAAAAGCCTAATATGCTAAGTCTCTGGTCATCTATTCAACCAATAAAAGCATAATATACTAATGATATGCTAAGGCTGCTCAACAGCTTGCTATGACATGCACTGACCACTGGGGGGCAGACGCTGCAACTGGCAGGTTGGCTTGCTGCTGGAGTCTGGCTGATCAGGACTGAACTAGACAGGCCTGACATGCCCTGAGGCCCTCCCATAGTCCCTCCCCACTAGCCAAACTCCTGCATCCCTCCCTGCCCTGATCATGCACCAATGGGGTCCCACTGCTTCGCCTATGCCCTCTCACAATCCAGAACCCCTCATGGGCTGTCAGATAGCCAGTTTCTGCCCGATTCCCGCAGGCCAGGCCAAGGGACCCCACTTGTGCACGAATTCGTGCATTGGGCCTCTAGTCTATTATACAGGCCTTATGTTGAGTGATTTCGAATTCAAAGACTGACACTTGTGCACGAATTCGTGCATTGGGCCTCTAGTCCTCTAGTCTATTATACAGGCCCTATGGTGAGTGATTTCAAATTCAAAGACTGACGATGTAAGTAGCAGAGCAAAAGTGGAGCTCAGTAAATGTTCTTCAGTTGCATTCACTAAAACACTTTCTGCTTACCAGAGAGAAGGGACATTCATAAAACATGACTGTAAAATTGTAGAACCCTTGCCAAGCGCCACAGGTGTAAGTGCTACGACTTAAGATGTTCTCCCCTCCTGGATCCAGGAAAGTTGCCTGCACAGTGGGGCCTTGACTTACAAGTTTAATTCGTTCCAAGACCGAGCTCGTTAAGGAGCTCGTTAACTCAAATTACTCTATCAACTCAATGCAAAAAATAGGCCGAGAGACAGTTGGTATCTCAAAAAACTCGTTAGTCGGGACACTCGTAAGGCCCCACTGTACTTTCAAGTGCAGGATGAATTCAAAACATTAGGAAGAAACCGTCACGTGTTACCTTGGAGTTTTGAAGACTGAAAAAAGTCCATCTATTTTTTTAATGAGGGGGCAGGGTTGGAGAAAAAATGTTCTTGAATAGAAGCATCTTAAATATTTTATGATATAGTCTTAATGTCTATTTTCACCACACCTGGCACAGTATGAGAGTATGGGGCAGAGGAAGGGCAGGGCCTCTCATGTGAACACAGATATAGAATGCCAAAGACATAAGGCCATACGTTTTTATGATATGGTCTCAATGCCCATTTTCATTGGTATTTTCCATGAGGTTTCTCCACACCTATAACAGAGGAACCAAGATGGACTATTCACTTATTCTTCAACCACACCTCATGATTCCTTCCTCTTCTCCTTTAATTAACTCTCTCATCCTGAGATGTCCATTTCTCATACTACCTTTCATCAACTCCTGCAGAAGCCTGTCCACCCAGTTACCTCCTTAAAGCCTTTCATGATGTCCTCCACCCTGAGCTGTGAACCATCCTAGAGCTTCACACCTTCCTAACAAGTCCCACCTGATATCAGTTGTTCATTTACTTGTCCGTATGCCTTCATTCCCATCCCACCCTTACCTGGTTTTGTAAAGTCTGACCCTGAGCTCTGTATACTCTTATCTATAGCAGGTAATAGCATCGAACCTTTTCTATACCATGTGCTCAGCCAATGTTTCTTTATTTATAAAGTTGAGTAAATATTATGAGAGACACTGGGGCATCACAGTTGTTGATCGGCTCAGCGGCCAAAACCTAGCTCAAGCGTCCTTGAGAAGTTTGCCAAAGACCTGTTACAAGGATCTGTAAAGCAATCATGCCTTGTTCTTATTCTCCTTCAAATCCCTCAGAATACACACAGAAAGCGGGGGATATCCCTTTGAGCAATACTGACTGAGAAGGAGGAGGTACCCTGGGCACCGTCAGAACCTGTGTTTCATGTGAAAGATGAATAGTCTGGATTAAGTACTTTATTTTTCTAACACTAAAGTGTAATGATTTAAAAAACATCGCGTTATAACCTGGAAGAAAGACGGTGCTACTCAGCTATGCCAAACAGTGCCGAAAGCACAGAGGGCGGTTTCCAGCCAGAACACTGGATTCCCCTATAGAACTGTCTGAACACACAGACACTGTGCCACACTGTGTCACCAGGTCACCGCCTCTGCCATCTGATTTAGACATGTGCCCCACCTGGCAGGCGTCCTACACAGCTGCTGCAACTTGAACTCCTTAAGGAATTCAAAGTCTTCAGATGGAGAGGGTTTGTTTTTTGTTGGAAGTTTGCGGAATGCCAATTCAAAGGTAGCATTTGAATATTCAAGTGTTCTAATCAAGATATATAAATATTTTATTACTCCACTACTGTACTTTCAGTCTACTTAAAAAAAATGAGATCACACAGATTTAATCAAGTTCATTGTTTAAAAGGAGGAGAATTAGCATTCAGAGTGCTTCCCATGAGAGTCACAGCGCTGCAAGGTCAGAGGGAAGTGGGTGACGAGTGTATTGTATTTTAGTCCTTAATTCAGCTCATTATTCCTTATAGGAAACCCTACAGGTCTACATGCTAGTTGAAAGGTAAATTAAAAAATAATAATAAAATAAGATAGTTTCTTCCTACTCTGCTGTGTATTCGTATTTTGTAAATATTTGGAAGTAATTTTACATCTGTATCTAAATATTAAAATACAATTTGTTTTAACATGATATAGTTTTCTGAGCCATGCATATAAAATAGTACTACTGTATTAAGAAGACTTGATAACACAGTGATGACCTACCTTAAGGGAAAATGAAATTATAAAACAATAAGGCCATTTTTAACTTGTGCATAGAACCAGTAATTGTGTATTTAAGGCAATTAAAAGATTTATTGAAAATTGGTTAAAAGTAGATTGACAATGGTATTAAAGAATAAAGTGTCATTTATTTGGCGCTACCTTGTGAATGTCTCTGATCTACAAATCATCTCATGATGTATGTACAACATACTTTCAATTACAACTCAAACATAGCATAACCTACAAAATCACATGGCTCTCATCAACATACAGCGATTATATTTTGAAAAGAAAGAAAATTAGCAATTCATTAAGGGTGCGAGAACTTTTTTTTTTCCCCCCCGAAGAAAATATTAGCACCATACCGGATAAAATGATCTAAAACTACTGGCCTCCTCGGACTTCTTCAATAACTAAATATAAACCTTTTTCTTTTCCAAGCACAAATATTAATCTGCAAAATCAGTTCTACAGTCGTTAATAGTTCTCTCTTTCTTTTTGTCTGCATTTCTTTCCCGGTCAGGAAAAAAAATAAGAAGTAAAAACTTTCCCAGGGTAGGAAAATAAAAAAAAATCAAAAAAAAAAAAAATCGAAGCAAACCCCGCGCCCTTCAGCAGTGAGTTCCGACAGAAGCGAAGGTGGACATCTCGCGGCGGATGGTGCTGAACGGGGACAGCTCCAGCTCGGTGGTGTACTCGTTGTCGTTGTCGTCGCTGGCGGCCGCCGAGGACTTGTGCGCGCACTCCTCGCAGCAGCAGCAGCAGCACTCCAGGAAGGCGCGGCTGAACGGCCTGCACAGGCAGAAGAGGATGACCGGGGTGACGCAGGACTTGAAGAACAGCAGGAACTGGCTGATGATGTGCAGCAGGTCCATGGTCTGCTGGGAAACCCCGGTGGCCATGTAGGCCGTCACGATGTTGTAGATATTCTCGGGGATGATGCAGAAGCCGTACAAGATGGTCAGCGCCACCACCGTGCAGTTCATCTGGCTCTCGAGCTGGATCTGCCGCTTGTTCCCGCGCGTGCAGGCCTTCTCCGCCTGGCGGATCTTCCGCGCCGTCACCAGGGAGCAGGTGATGGTGAACAGCGTGGGCAAGCAGAAGTAGCAGCCGAAGTACCACCAGAGCCTCGCGCCGTCGTAGGTGAGCGCTAAGACGTAGATGGTGTCGGGCAGGTCCGGGGAGATCTTGATGACACAGCGTTCGGCGGGGGCGCGGCCGCCGAAGCCCACGTCCTCCTTGCTCAGCTGGCGCAGGACCACCTCGGGCAGCGCCAGCAGGAGCGCGCCCACCCATATGACCGCCAGCTTGGCGGTGGTGGAAGAACAGTTCTCGATCATCTCATAGTACATCTGCACGTTGGTGGCCGCCCGGAAGCGGTCTATACACAGAGCACATAAGGTGAAGGTCGTCACTCCCAGCGAAGCAACCTGTGGGAGGAACACAGAATCGGGGTGATATCACTGTAAGAAGGAAAAATGAAAATGGGGGTGGGGGGCAGGAAATGTAGTGGTTCAGGGCCATAGGGTCAAAAAATTTTAGATCTGGAAAGATCTGTAAAGATCATTTAGTGCAACACCATTTCATTGTAGACTAGTGTCCTGGTGCATGGATTCATGCACATTGAAAGGAAATTAATTAGTCCTTCCGGTGCAGGTCCCAGGGGGTGGCCGGCAGGGTAGGACAGAGCGAGATGGGCTGGACATGCCCTGGAGCCAACCTCCCGCAGTCTCTCCCCGGGCTGCCACACCTGGGCAAGCTCAAAGGGCATCTGCAGAGTGAGCAGGGGCCCTCTGGCAGGTAGGTTCCCTCACCTTGGCCTGCGGAAATGGGGCTGAAACTGGCTCTCCAACATCCCCCCGAAGGGGTCCCAGAGTATGAGAGGAATTCTGAGGAATTGGCCTCCCTCCTCTCTGGTTCCGGGTTGTGTCACCCAAGAGCTGCCGCTCCTGCGTTGAACATCTGCTACTGGTAGTCAGTGCACATCATAGCTACTGGCCAGCTGGACAGGAGGGGGAGCAGGCTGGGACCAGGGACCCCATCCGTGCATGATTGGGGCTGGGGAGGGACTGTGGGAGGGCTCCAGGGTGTGTCTGGTCTGTCTCACCACACTCCTGATCAGCCCGACCTCAGGAGCAAGCTAACCTACCGGTCAGAATGTCTGCCCCCTGGGGGTCGGTGAGTGTCATAGCAACCGGTCAAATGAACTGTTGGACACTTAGCATATTAGGCTTTATTATGTAGGATAAGAACACAGAGACCCCAAGAATTTCAGTCATCATGAAAATGCCTGCCACCAGATGGGCTGGAGAAGGAGTAAGGATCACTGAGTGTTTCCCATTGTCATTAGCGAAGAGGATGGCCATGTTTTCCAGTGTGACGGTCATTAGTATGCCTTACACACAGCAGATATTCAAGAGCTATTGCTTCCAATAAACTAGGTAAGAGTAGAGATCTCTTCCAATTTCTCCTAAATATAAATGAAAGTATTTTAATATTATTTTTTGCATATATCTATGGGAAACAAAAAAGGGAAATTCTCTAGAGGTCATCACCAAAGAGAAAACAAACTTCAAACAGGTCAGTAAACTCCCCCCCAACCCCCTTCACCCACGGGTTCCAACCCCTACCCCCACCCCATGCTGCACGTTTTCCCTAGACACATCTGCTAATCCTGATGAGATTTCCAAGTCATTTAAACTAGAAGGTGCCTAAGTACATAGGTAGTAAACAAAACTGTGGCCACTGTGATGGAGATTAGGTCAAAGATTCCTTGTGAATTTGGAAAGCCCCGAAAAGTGACATTTTCATGATTATAAAGAGAAAAAAAACAAGCAAGATAGTGGAGGAACTTGTCTGGCTTTAAGGGTTTGGTTCTAGGTGAATTGGGGAGTTGAAGGGGAAGGGCAAATTCCAATCAGAAGCCTGAATTGATGCTGGACTAGAGCCAGAAATCACACCAGCTACATGGCTCAGAGAAACCCACAATGCATTTTAAAATGGTCCCAGGCACTGGAAAAGTGAGCATGAAGTCACTTTAAAACCAGGCCTCAAAGAAATCACACAGATAAAATTTCAGGGAACGTGAACGCACAATTAAAAATCGCAATATGGCCCTGGTTGGTGCGGCTCAGTTGGTTGCACTAATCCCATGCACTGAAAGGTCACTGGTTCAATTCCGGTCAGGGCACAGACCCAGGTTGTGGTTTGGTCCCTGGTTGGGGTGCGTATGGGAGGCAACCAATGGATGTTTTCTTTTTCTCCTCTCTCCCTCTCCCTTCTCTCTCTAAAATCAATAAATACATATTTATAAATCAATAAATAATAAAAATCACAATATGCAAGAAACAATCCACCAC